TCTATTTTCATATGGTATCTATACACAGAAATACTTCAATAAATATATTACACAAGTCTAGACATGGAAAAGAGAAGAAAAGAAGAAGAAAAAAAGAAATCATTAAATAGAGATACAAATTTATTATATGAACATTGAATATAGATGTTCATAGGTCTCCTTTTTTTTATTTGGAAAATTTTTTGTAGTTTTTACACTTATTTGCTTCCTGCTTCGACAAAAAAAGAAAAAAGAAATTGATAAGAATACATATACGTTGTTTAGAAACTACTAAAAGAAAGAAAAAAAAGTACGTAATACCCGACGACTAGACAGCGAAAAGATAACCAGTTATATACTAAGCTTCTCAGTTTATATGAGATTAGTCTACTCTATTTCAGACACTTTACAAGATGAAAAATAATAAATTAGTGTAGGTTGAAATTATAAAGGATGTTATTAGTAAGAAATATCCTATTTAGATAATATATATTAGAAGACCATACTATTAAACTGTAATATTTTATTTCAAATAAAATATTTTTCTCTTTCATTATTGTCTCTCTAGAATCTCATAGAATATCTGTTCAATAGACTAACTACTATACAGATTACTTAATCAATAACAACAACATATGAGACAATAATATGCATCAATATTACCATGTTTCAGTAAATATATTTTGGAAAAGTCTCTCACATGTCAATTCACATCTGCAATTATTTTGCTAATTTGTATTCAAGACTTTCCAAGATAGAATGACGTGAATATATAATGTTTATGAAGCATATTCTGTTCTTTCAAATAGACTATACAAACATAAGAACATTGCGTCTAGACAGTTTTTGCGTGATGTAATATGACAAATCGAAGAAGAAAAAAAAAGAAGAAAAAAATAACGAGGAAAAAAATATTTTCGTCTTAGCGCTATGAGCAAAACGGAAAAGAAAGAGATGCAAGATACACGACTTACATAAGCCTGGAGAATAGTTTTTTTGTTTTTTGATCGAGGTAACATGATTTATTTTCCTCTTAGAAAAATGATTGACGAAATTATACAATAAACAAAATCTTTTAGACAAAGTTGAAAAACAAAAAAAAAAAATAAATTGTAAAGCGTCTATACGAAATACAAAAATAGAAGAAAAATATCCAGATAGAAATTCAATTCAATAAGATTTATTATATTTAATGGAAAAACAGCAGGGAAAGAAATATTGAGATTGAAAAATTAGATGATCTATCAATTAACAAACTTCACTCTACACCAATTTTTTAGATTTATTTCAGTCAATATGTCTCGTTTGTATTAAACGAAATGTCTGTTCGTAGATCATCTTATTTGTTTAGGTCATCTGCATGTAAAATCAAAATATCTTTTACTCCTTGAAAAACCATGCACAAAAACGTCTCCGTGCGCATTTCTGTCGTTTTTCCGTGCACAAAAATGTCAAAAGATTTTTTAATACACGGAAAATAGCAAATCATGCACAAAAAACATTTTTCCCCTGAAATAACAGGTTTTACCTATGAGTCAGAACAAAATAGAAGCTTTTCAAGTATAAGACAAATGATCTTTAACAGGGAGCATAATTATGGGCAACAATATCGTTCAAGCAATAATAGTTTGTTGATACTTTATAGAAAATTTTCAAGACAAATTGGGATTGTTTTTCCAAAATACAAAATACGAATCAATTTCTTACTGTAAATAAGATGTTCAAATAGATTTTTGTTTTTTTCGTAAAACATCAAGATTATTCAATAAATGAGTATAAAAGAAGAATTTAAAATTTGATTACATAATTTTACTATTTATTATCAATTGCTAATTTTTCAAAAAGTTTCAAAATACCGGAAAATTGTGCTAGTTTTATTTCTTGAATATAAAATCAATACTCATATTCTAATTCTTTTTGAATCTCAAAAGATTATCTGTTAACGACTACAATAGTTCAAAAGTGAAAGGATCCTATCGGATGTGGAGAAATGGATCATTTACGAAAAATATCGATCACATCCATTTTACATGCAGATAATAAAATACCTGTAAAAACTGAATCACATGAAAAACCAAATTTCGATTTTGTCAGAAACTGCGTGAGTATGAGTGCTATGTACCACATTAATTTCATGGTTTGACACCGTGAACTACTAGTCAAAAAGATATTTTAATTAAAAAATACTCTAAAAAGAAGATACATTCATAACGGTAACTTGGCCGTGTGCGCTTAGTTTACTCATTAATAAATTCTAATATTAGATTCGGAATCAGCGAATAAAACTAAGTCGAATAGGAGTTCATAGACGAGACAAAAATCTAAATTCTTTTATAACATCGCAGATATCTCAACGAAGGCGTACAACGAGCATATCTTTAGAAAGACAAATGGCTATCAGTCGAGTTGGATCTAGTTTAGTCCATGTGGTTCAGTTTTTATAGGTATTTTATTACCTGCATGTAAAATGGATGTGATCGATTTTTTTCATACATGAACTGGTTCCAAGAACTGACTCGAAACGTCCGAAAAATAAAATAATTCTATAGAGCGTTTATTACCCTACAAACTTACAGATTAGAGAAAATTCTACAATCCTTCCTAATTACACACAAACTCTTACTCTTCTATAGCATATAGCAGAAAGATTAAGAATCATTGACCCTCGATCTCAAAAACCACAAGGTACTAAGCCACACTCAATATAGCACTAAATTTCTTGTTGTGCGCTTATGAACCTGATAGATAACTTTTTGATTCGCTTTACTTTTCAGTCCGACCGGGTCTTTTATTCAATACAAGTACCGGGTGCGCCAAAATCATTGCAACATTCTTTATTTTGCATATATCTCAGTCCCGAAATATGGTAAAATTTTAATTTCTTTTTTAGAAGATGCCTCATTTAATTCTCTACAAAAACATATTGAACATTTTTCTATATACCTTAAAAAATAAGAGAATATGAAGGAAATACGGCGAATATGCAATCTCGACTACTTCCTAGGCCAATAAACACCGAGAAACAAATTTATTTTGAGCACGGGGATATACATGAAAGTGGAATAAAATATATGTTCTGTTGTTCTTAAGTGTCGTCTTTCTTTTCGTTTATCATAGGTTCGCTTTAAACGTGTTTTTCTTGAATAAAAAGCGATTTTACCAAAACTCATCCTAAACACAAGAAAATTTGACTTTTTCGTCTTCGTACAGTAGAAATAGCGGATCTATAGGACTTTTCCAGTTCGGATGTTAAAGCAGGGTTGTTTTCCTTCAAAGTAAAACAAATCCAGTCTTAAAATGTTTGATTCTGGCTGAGTTATGAAATTTTTCCTAAGTGCCTCTAAACTGTTGTTTGAAACTGATGATTTTTAGCAAAATCGGTAAAAGAAAAAAATCTGTCTCGGCCTCTTGTGATTATGAAGAATTTTAAATATAGCAGGTTGGTAGAACTTTTCAATGGCTACAAAATGGCTGTCTTCTGTTTTATTGTATTGCAAAACATAAAGGACCAAAATTGAAAAAACTGTTTCTTGGCCTAGGAAGTAGTCGAGACTGCATATTTGCCGTATTTCCTTCATATTCTCTTATTTTTTAAGGCCCTTTATTTTTAAGGTCAGAAACCTGTCTTAGCCCAGGTAGGTCGGATCTGAACTAAACTTTCAGGGAATGTTGATCATGTCACAGTGTAGTAACGAAATTTAACAAGCCGTTCGGTAACAAACTGTTTGGTGACCGAACTATCGGATTGTTGCATGCTTAGTCATAGATGTCGTTCACGGTTGAATAGTAGATTCCATATTGACTGATGAAGACGCTAAGTACTAACAATTTTAAGAAAACAAAAGATAAGAGCTAGACAGAACAATCGTAAATTTTTTTTCCAAATACAAATAGACAGTGTCTACATCATGCTAACTTTGCCAGGATCATTCTTAGACAAAGTTGTTTCTCAAGTTCAAGATCAAACTTCATTTATCTTTTTTCTTAGTAGCTTCGAAAAACTTGAAAAAGAACATTACGAGCGCTAGCTCTAGAAATGGAAGCACTCTCAATCAAACAAATGTATTAAAAACATTTCTTAACGTGATTAGCAGTGGGAATACGATGAGGACAATAGATTATTATTGTATGACAACATAAATCCTGACGTTGTTGAATCGTTATATGTAAAAACGCCCAAAGAAAAACAAAATAAATTATGCAAATTGTATAAACAATCATCACGGATTTTATCAAAGATCTTGTTTCCATTCAAAAGGTTAGGCCAATGTATGATTAATCAAACTTTAAGTAGTAGATTTCCCGATAGTTTTGAAGATTTTGTATATAGTCAAAAAAAGGAAAAAATAGCGAGGGCAGAAAATCATTCAGTGGATGTTTCAGATTTTTTTTCACCTTTCGAAACGTTCAACAATTGAACTCTTAAAAAGACCTTGATTATCGTAATTCTATTGAACAACAGGTGGAATTATCGGAAGTGTTTTACGCATGATTTTATATTCTTTTTATATAAATGTATTCTTCTCACTAACTACTGCTTCTTCTATTCGTTGCCGGAAATAGAAAATTCACCGTAGATTTCTACTTTAATACTAATTATTATGTAACAAAGGCATTCTGCTTCATTTTCTATTATGAATGAACATTCAGATATACCTTCTGATTAATATTTTTTAACCTTGTACAAAAACATGAATCAAAAGATAAAATTCTAATAAAAAATGAACTTTTTAATATACAACGGCTATATTGAAAAAAAAGAGAGAAATATACACGGAATGAGAAAAACGATGTTAAACATCAAGAGAATTAATAGTCAAGAATATTACAAAAAAAAAAAGAAGAAACCAACAACGGTGGACTAAAACCGCATCTGTGACTTTTTTTCTAACCTCAAAATTATGTAAATGAATGAATTTTCGATTAAATTTGTCAATTATCAATAACAAAAGAACGATATTTGACATTGGATAAGATCGGTTACTGTAGTATTCTGCTTAACATATACGCATAGATGTGCAATGAAAATTTATTTACTCCATACATTATGTAATTTGTTTCAACTTCAATTGATGACTACTACACAACAGTTTACATGGAACAATTCTACATACTTACAGAAATATCGAACTATTTATCCTACCTTAATAGTAACAACAACAACAACAACAACAGCAATGAAATTATCAGATACGAATACGAAAGCACAACAATATTACAATACAATAACCAGTACAAGTCCACCTTGGGGTAAGTCTCTATCAAAAATCATTATGTATATTGAAACAAGTCATTTTTTATCAAATTTTTTAGGTTGTCGTTTTGTTAGCTTAAATCGTCTTGAATGTCGAAATTATTATAATTTTCATTTGACATCGTATTCATTTTGTGAAAATAATTATTTTAAATATGTACTAATTGATGAACTTATACTGCATAATGATTATAATTGTTTTGATATACAGTGGCAATGTTATGTAGAAATTGATCATAGTTGGACAAAATGTTTGACTTCATTAAAAAAATTAATAATTAAAAATTTAAGTTTTATTATTTTATTACCAAAAACAACATCGTACGATGAAAAAACTCCACCAAAATTAGATTATTTAAAAATTGAAAATACACATGGAAGTGTAACAGAACTATTAAATTTATTTTATTTTTCAAATTTATCAAGTATTTTCATTCAAAATTTGTATCCTAGATGGACTGGACTTGATTTATATTCTATGTATATAAAAACATTTCACACTAGAAATGTTATACCAAAACAATTTTGGTTAAATGTTGTTGACTGGTATCCAGTTATTTATTTAAATGTACAACAAAAATCTTTGATTAAAAATTGGCTTCATGCTATTACATGTAAGAAAAAAAATATTAATAAAAAATAATTTTTCTAAATTAATTAATTTATTTAAGGTTTACATATTGAATTGGGCAATTGTATTACCTATCAACAAGATATGATCTACTTAAGAGATATATTTACATCAAGAATGGAATTTAAACAAAACAACAATAATGAACTATTCTGTTACATGGATCGTGGAACAAAACGTCATCATTGGACAGAAATAGTAGAATTAAAATATAGTTGTTGTCAACCAGGTAATTATTTGAATAAAGATTGAAATTCTCTTTAGATTACTTAATTTTTATTTTAAAAAATGTCTAAATCAGTATTGTTACTTCAGTAATTACTATTAAAATATTACATTTTTCTATTTCAGTACCATATAGAACAGCAAATTCAATAGTACATATGACAGAACGTAAAGAAGAATGTTTCTATCAGTTTCTGAAAGGTATGTTAATCAAAATAGAAATAACTGTAATACTTTGTACTCAGATTAGACTTAAATAGGAACATCAGTAACTGAGCAGTACTATCAAAATTCCTAGTGTATTTTAGAGCGTTATACAATCAATTCTCGTACAGATTTACTCGATTTTTATGATAATTTTAAATATGTAGAATCCTATAGAATACCGTATTTACGTCCACGTCAATATATATCATCGCCATTAAAATTACATAACGCCTATTCATCTGTGTGGTCAAAACCACCGAATTTTTACAATAATCCATTATCTATAACACAAAAACTAGATGTCAATAAAATAACAATTGAATACACGTGGCTAAGTACGGTGGAAGCACATAACGATGGACGATTTTTAATGGCAGACAATGCAAATCACAAACTATTTTTACTCGATCATCAGGGACGATATCGTATCGATCTAACATCTCTATATTTAAATCAACTAAAATACACATCATCATCATCTACAAATCAACATTATTCATTCCATCAAATTCGAATTGATTTCGATGGATATATATTTATGATACCCCTTTTGTGCTATGAATTTTATATTTTCTCACCAATAAATCAATTATACAAAATACTAACAGCGAACACACTTAATATGTCTGTATTACATGGTGATTGTATGGCAGTAGCTCATTCAGGTTTAATTTATGTCTGTGACAACACAAATCGTGCAATTCGAACGTATACAAGAGTAGGCATATTTCAAAAAATGTTTCGTATTGATTATCTACCACTGAAGTTATTCATCAGTAATAATCTTCTATTTACATATTCTCTAGAAAAAGTAGCCTCAATTAGACTTTATACAGTAATAGGGACTTATGTACAAACATTATACATGTGTGCATATAATTTACCTAATGATATTAACTGGTTTCGTGGAAAATACTTTTTAACGTGTGGTACGTTTTTGTACATATTAGATCAAACAGGCTCAATAATAGGTCAAACTGGCTTAAAAACATTGTTTGCTCCAAATGACCATGTGACTAAATATTTAATCAACGATTTTGCTATTAACAAAAATGGTTGGCTTGTTTTTACAATAAAACAGAATTATACTTTGTTAGACCGTTACTGGGTCATCAGACCAAAATAAGCCAGTTTAAATCGGCAGTTTTTTTGTATCATTTTCCTCCAGTTTTTACAATAAACTAGCTAATCTTTCCGAAAAAAACTATAAGAAATAATTAGTTGTAAGAGAAACTCAAATAAACGTAACTTCAAACTTTGAAATTATTTTTCTTCATTTACTCTGGGTATTTACAAATATGCAATAGTTCAAAGTGATTTTACTTTGTAAAATGATAACCTCTCTCAGGCCATCACGATTTCCTTTTACAATCACCACAGTTGTATCAAAAGACTTACTTTGTTTGAAAATAGAATGGCTAAATAGTGACATTCTTAGTCGTTATTCAAAAATAATGCAATAAATTGAATAAATTTGTTTAATAATCGCTTTTGAGTTATGGGAAAGCCCACCAAAGAATAAACGATGTTTTGCTTTAGAAATAAAAAAGATATGATCTTAATTTCATAACCGAAATAATTGAGCTAACGAAGCACCTGTTAATAATTTAATCCAGATCAGAAATAAGGCTTCAGAAATGTTGATAGCAATCATCGCAATTGTTATGAAAATTCCGGTGTATTATGAAACTCTAGAATTGGTAAACTAAAAAAGGGTTTTCTTCTGTATGATGATTAATATCGAGATAGAATCAGTTCATCTATAAGCGTCTATAATAAAATGAACGACAAATATCTAAAATGTTTTATTTTCAGACGTTTTTATTTATTTCTAATCCAATCGTTGATTAAAATTATTATCAAATAATCGTAAAAGAAAAAAAGTTTAATGAAGAAGAACATGGCGTTTCTATTTATGGCAAAACATACTATCATATATATTTTCATGTTTGTAACAAAAAAAGAGAAAAGTAAAAAATAGCACATTTTTTTTTGTAGTCACATGCACACACTCAAAGTTCCTGATGGACAAATGGGTTGGTGCAGAAGAAAGAAAACAATGTTGACAAACGAAAGTATCTTGACATTTTTAGATCACATGAGAGAAAAAAAAATACATATATAAATCTGACAGATAAGAAGGAATGAAACAAATGAACGACATCTGCGCGATATATGTACAAGCAATAGACGAAAATAAAACAACAAATAAAATAAGTTCGTTTTTTTTTAATCTGATTCTGTTTTTTTTGCCTAATTGAGCACCGGAAGAAGAAAATAGACAGACAAAACTTTTATCGAAGAAAAACTAGAAAAATCAAACTTACTTACTAGAGAAAAAGGAAGATAAATTGCTTTAAAACTACCTGAACTGCATATAAAGACAAACTCTTCAACAAAAAGAGAAAAAAAAATCAATTAGTTTATCTTTTATCGATTTACTTCACCTGACAAATACTTTGGCTTGTTTGTGTTTTTTAACACTAGAAAAACTTGCAATAATATAAAAAACGAGGGTGAGAAAAAGTTGACCACATTCACAAAATTCGATTAAAAAAATAGTTATTTGATCTTTTCAGAGAAAAAACGTTCCTTCTTCTTCTTCACCTCCTTCTTTTTTTTTTGAACAACGAATTTGGAAAAGAGTAAAAAAATAAGCAACGATTTTGAGTGGGGTTGTTCATTCTTTTTCCACTTAATACGTTTGCATAACTTGCTCCATTCTTGCTGGAGGCGCATATGTCATTCCATAGACGAAAGGACCCTAAAAACAATCAGATGTGAGTGATGTGCCAAATTAATTGTATCATGAAAAAAAAAGTAGCAAAAATGGAAAAAAATAATGTTTTTTTGTTTATCTCTTCTTTCCAGGAAACAACAAAAAATAAAGCAATTCTCTTCTGACGGTGAGTGACCGCTCAAAACTTTGCTATGATTCGATACGAATTTGCTATGGTAAAGAGACTAATCTCGTGCATCTCTACACATTATCTATACTTTCGAATTGAAAGTCGTTCACGTGTGTAGCACTAGTCAACTTACATTTCTTAAATTAGGCGCGCTAGCAATACCATTATTCAAATAGAAAGGTGATGTAGACGGTTGCTGATATTGTGCTACGTGTGGCGCATTATAATACCATGAAGATTGTTGCTGATAGGCAGCCATTGGTGGTGTCTAGAAAAACAAAAAGATGAAAAACTGTTTAAATAAATAACAGAATAATATACAAACATAATCATTGCCAAATTGATACTGCATAGGATAATTTGAAATGCAGTACTGACCATTTTGTGCAACATGCGGGCCTAATCTTGCAAACTAGAACACCAAAACGATAATTCATCGTTCAAGCAGAAAAGCGGGAATAATACCATGAAATTAGGTTCAGACGGAGGAAAATAGCATGAATAACCAGACATTGGTGAAGGAGAATAGTAGTTTGTCTGTACACTTTGTTGCAAAGAAGGTAATGTTGTCGAAGGAATTGGCGTTGATTCTCGATCATTACGCAATGGTGTAGTGGGAGGCGTTATTGTTGCCAAGTGCGCTACAGGTTCTAAAAAAAGGTAAAAAATATATTATCCAAAGATATTTATTATGTTGTTCCATACTTGATGTTGATGTTCGATGTCCATTTTTCTTCACAGCAGGACTAACTATCAGTTTTCTTTCTCGAAAAATAAATGGATTAATACCGTGAACTTGTAAAACATGCTGACGTATTTCAGCGGTTTTGTACGTGACAAATGCAAATCGTCTAAAGTAAGAATTTGATTTTGATATCGAGTTTGTTGTCAAATAGAGGTCTTCTAGACCATATGTGAATGTAGAGATTATCAATCTAAGGTAATTGTATGTGGAGCTCGAGGTGAAAGGATGATTGCAGCAGAGGTAGAGGCCCATAGATACGCGTGATGCTCGGAAAACGATTATATCGGATAAGTCTTGAAATTTAAATTCACACTGCCTCTGCAAAGAAATAAAAGCTGAAAGTTGTTCCCTGAATGAAGCGAAAAATAAAGTCAGGAAAAGTAACTCAAATTATCAATGGTGATTCAAGCTGGCATAGCACCATCAGGAAAGGTAACAGAAAAAGCGTGATTATTCGACGTTTTCTTCAAAACAACTTTTTGGCAGATTCTATACTTCTAGAAGGCAAACCGATAAATTTCTCTTTTCTAAACATTTTGGTCCTCCAAAAGCGATCTGACCTTTTTCATGGACTGACTGCCAGAAATTTTTTCCTCTTCTAATTCGCTACCTACTAAACATTTTGCTAAATAAAATAGACCATAAAGACAGTCAAAACTTTAGCAATAATTTTTACATCAACAACAGCACCATGACGTGCGAAGAATTGTTCCAATTGTTGTGATTCCGTCTATTGAAAGAAAGAAATAGCGATAAAGCAATCGTTCTTCAAACATAGTTCGATACACACTAGTTTTATTCAAGGATATCCAATAAATATACCGACACTTTTGCTGTGAATTACTGAGTCCCTTTTACTTACATCTATCGGGAAATTTTTCACAAAAAGTCTGTTGGCAATTTCTGTTCCATATGGAATTTTCTCGTCATGATAATATTCAGCTAGACTACTATTGTGGCTATACATTTTGAAAATGTCGAAAAATGAGTATATTCGACGCAAAATCTTCGATTGTTAAAAATGAGGAAATTAAATATAAAGCAAAGCTTATTTATAGTCGAAAGAAACGGAAGAAGACTGCTACCGTCAATGCATGTATCGTAGTCCAATAGAAAAACTCACCCAATTCTCTGCGTCCGCCATCATTCGCTTCGTCAGAGTCTCCTAAGTGCAGCATTCAGCTTTTTAATGCGATGAGAGGCATGTATGATTGCTTTGCCTGGCAATTCAGGAAGAATTTAAAGAATCTTGAGACAAGATAAACTAAGAATATCCTCTGCAACATAGATGGCGCTGAAGAACGGAATATGAATAATTCTCTTTTTTAAACCTTTACTCGAACAGTCTTAGATTTATTTCAGACGTTTTTCAAGTGTATGGTAAATTCTATTCGCTTCAGCTTCTCCTCGCCGTTAACATACTGATGAGTGATTTGTCAGAATATAAAAACATGGATGTCTCTCACATAGTAGCCTACATTCGTTCGCATAAGTAAGAAAACACGTATTGCTTTTTTCATCAGAGTATTATTATTAAAAATAAAAAAACGACATACTGTGTTTTAAGTATTATCATTAATATATTATTTCATACCTGATTTGAAAGGATAATGATTTTAAGAATTTTTGTGATAATTGTTTAAAACTGTCGAAAAGATAAAATAACTCAAACTTGGATAACTTTATTTTAGAACAACAGAAAAAACTTTTATCATTATGTTGCGCTTTTGTAATTTTTAATAATAAGTAAAATTTTAAAACTCACGGAGCTTTATCTACCATCAAGATTTAGAAGCCACTAGTACGTATCGTCAAGGTCCAAATGTCTTACATTGTTGTCGCTCAAAAAATACTGTTCTAAAAGGCATAATGAACACCTTTCGTTTTCTACAGGAACAACAATGACCACATCAACACATTCAACTGACGATATCAAAACACAAACTCAGTTGTTGACAGATAGTAATAACAATATGATTCGAAATTTCAAGAATCGAAATGAAGTATGTTTGAGTAGCAGTAATTTATTTATTTCAAATTAATCTTATTTTATAGAAAACATATGCTGAAGAACTACGTATTGCTAAATTGATAGATCATAACATTGATGATGCAACAATAAAAGAGAAAATTAGCAAAGTATGTACGTCGAAAAAAAATTCTTATTATCGAAGTATAATTATCTTTATTTTTTTCCTTTATCTAATAAAGATTCAACAATCCATACCAAATAGTGCGTCATTCGATCTAGACACAATAGCGTACGCATTACATGCAAGTGATTATAACGTTCAAAGCGCAATAGAAATATTAGAAAGTGGAAGTAGTGAATTGCAGGTAAGTTTAAGCTTTTCTAAAAAAGTATTTTTATAAATGGTGATCATTAAGTTTTTGGTCTCATGGGAAGGAAGCATAAAGAAAAGAGAGATGTGTAGTTGCTATTTGCCTGTTGTTTCAAATTACATAGAGATAGTTTGTCTGATCGCTTTTGTTTTTTATAATTTTTTGTTGTTTGTTTCGTGCAGAAAGAGTGGCAAACAGCAAAGTCGAAGAAAAAAGTTTCTACACTAAAAGAAACAAATCAAAAGAATAGTACACAGAAATCTTCTGAAACAGATACTGTCGCGCATGATAAAGAACAACAACAAGCCCCATTTTCCTCCAGTAATCGACCATCGGAGCAACAACAAAGTTTACCTCCTCAAACATTCACACAAACGATATCTTCCACACCACAATTGAACAATATTCGTACGTCAAGACCGTCATCTTCACGAGTACCTGGACGTGGTGGTATGTAAGAAAGTTTTGGACATCTACGATAATAAAATAAATAATCTTGTCTCTGTTTAGGTCCGTTTTTAGATAACAGTCGATTTGATGGAAATTATAGTCCAAAACCATCGAATAATGGTGGAAGCAATCATAATCGATTACGCTATCCAAATCGAAATGCGCTTTCTCGAAATCGACGCGGGCCTTACTATGAACCTCGTACCAATGATAAACAACAACCACAACAGCTATCCGAAAACAAACAGTCTCGTGATAATTATTTACAACAATCACCGTCGGACACTAAAATAAGTGAAGAGTTAAATGAGAACTTCATTAGAGATGATGATTCGAGAACAAGTCCAACGGATTTGACAAACGAATCATTGAATGATGAATATGAATCAACAGTAAAATCGTTGACATTTAATAATAGTTTACAAACACCTTCTTCTGTACCGATCTCTCTGTTAACTCTCGATGTTGATGTTAAAAAACCAGATAATGCACTTCCGCCCCGCTCATTTAAAAATCGTAATGCACTTACATCGCATACTCAAGCTGCTTCACTATTAGACAATTCATCTACTTGCAATAATAAACCAAATGAACCATCTAAATTGGCCGTGAGTATGCATGAGGCTGTTCAGTATTCAAATAAACCGATTGATGTGCAATTTGGTGACATACATTGGGTGAATGGAAATGCAGATGAAAGTATTCCTGCAGCGATTGAAGATAGTATGAACTGTCTCAGAATATCATCTACAGACGAAGAACACTTAACAACCTTACCTGTCAAAAATGATCAACAAACGTCACCGCATTCATCCTCATTTTCATCTCCAAATACATTAACAATGAAATGGTAACATATTATATTTTCTTCAAATAGTTGTATAAAATTGCGTTTCTTTTCTTAATTGTTAGTAATACTGACTTGTATCCAGAAGATCTATCTTCTAATTTCAACGGCACAAACGACAAAAACGATAATGAATCAGATATTTTATCATATCCACAGCAAGAATTATCGTCGCCTTCCACCAATTTATTAACGAAACCTGTATGGAGTAATTTTCAGCAAAATAAATCATCGTTGTCAGAATCCAATTTAACTTCTAACAATAGTGTAATTAATAATAGTGCTCATTTGTCCGATCATCTTAAACAGCATCCAGAGCAATCTTCGTCAACATCTTATGTACAACCGCAGTCAAATCCGTCCAGTTCTCAGAAAATACCGCCGCATACAACAAATTCTTCGACAACAATGATACAGCATTCAACGCGAAATGGAAATAACCAACAGCATCAGCAACTTTATAATAGCAATCTATTTCAACAACAACAACAACCGCATGGGATTTCTCTCATAAATATGCAAGCAAATGTTCCTTCTTCAGGAACCTACACGTAAGCACGCTCTTCTCTTGAACTTTATTTGCCGTGTTTAGGTTTTGCTCACACTTATATTTTCTTATACAGTCGGTAAAAAAATTATTCGTACAATATGAACTTTTTTTTGTTTTCCAATTATCTCCACACCCAAAACGCCTATTGAGGTTGGATTTTCAGGATCTCGAATCTCTCAATCTCTAGTATTCACACTGCTGATATCAGTTTTTTCTTCAGTGATCTTTATGGTTTTCTGGAAGGGTTTTTGGACTTGGCCTGTCTTTTCTGCAAAAAATATATATTCGTACGATCATCCTTGGACTCTCATTTTTCAGTTATCCTAGTTTGTTCGAAAATAGTTTAGTTTTTGAAGTAGTAGAAAAATTAGTTTTAATGAGTTTAATTGAAAATGTCTGAAAAACTAAATTTTTAAATCTAGAATCGAATTAAAAGACAACTTCAAATATACCAAAAGCAAGAGTGAAAAAAATTGCATCGACTGATTGTGTTTTTACTTTATAGAAGTTTGACAGGGGTTTTCAGAGGATTTCTTAAAACAGATCGAAGCGAGCTTTTAGAAAAAGGTATCTTTTCTATAGAAGTTATTGGATTAAAATATTTTTTTTATTGCGGCTTAATCAGCAGAAAATTCTCTATAAAGTTAGCTATAGAACAAGTTCACAAAGTATCTAATTATCGAGCTACACATCTGTCTTTTTCTCATTGTCTTTTGGAGAAAAGAACGAATTTTTTCTTTCCTTCATTTCTTATATGTAGCAACCATTGTATACAGAAGCAAGATGAAAGAAACAAAATTTTGTTTTCTCAAAAAGACTGAGAAAAAGATAGATGTAATCGTATGAATAATTTTTTTATCAACTATATATATCATATTTTTTATCTATTTTTCCTCTGTACTGTATGACTTTTATTTAGATATAAAGTATAAATATAAATTGTGTTTAGATATAAATTATTAGATATAAAATTATTTAGATATAATACTTTCCTTTTTTATTCTAGTCAAATGACACGTGATATGTATCCTGTTAATTATCAACAACAACCACATGCATGGAATCAACAACCATTACATTATATAAAAAACTCACGTACGTCAAACTCGTCCAGTTGCAATAAAAACATAAAAAAAACATTTTTAATATGTTTTTTCTTTAGAAAATAAAAATATTCGGCAACCACCAGTTTCTCATCATCCAAATATGTATCATCCAACACAAGCTTTTCAAACACCATCACCAACATACCAATTGTATCCAGTAAGCAATTTTTTTCTCAGGAGTTTAAGCTTTTGAATTTTTGAAGGAAAGATCTTTTAGCAACAGTAAAATTAATTTTCTCAATTCATAGTTGTGTACTTGTTTCTTTCCAGATTCTCTCATACGATGGTGCTCTATATTCACCATCGTTCGATCAACAAAACAGTACGTTTGTTTATGAAGCTATTATTTGGTATTTAACTTTCTTTTATGTTTTTTTAGCTTTTTTTCTATCAAGTCCTTATCATCAAACAGCTCCAACACCGAAATCACGTAAGTTCCTGCTCCTTGATACTGTAATAAAAATGAGCATCATTAACACCCAGCAACACACACACACATAAATTTAGAAGTTTAACATGTGCATATATCCTTATATATCAGCAACTTTTCTCAATGGGTAATTATAACGTTAAGTGATAATTCAGATCAATATGGATTTGATATTTTGCAAACGGAGCAGCATAAAACAGTTTGATTATAATGCGAATGAAAATGATAGTGGTGGTGAGGGTGACTCAAATTATTATCCGTGATTAAGAAAATAGTCTTAAATCATTGTTACTGCTCCCACTAAGATTGTCATCTATAGCTCTATGGTAAACAATGGTTTTTGTCTGACCACTAGCAACTATTATTGTTTTCCTATTTCTATTTCTCCACGCAAAGCCAGTGAATGAATATGCTTGTTGATTTTATTATAGTTGGAGCAAATCATATTTCTCTTTCTCATATCTTTCCAATATTATGTTGGTTTCTGACATTTTATTTTGCATTTTATCGGATGCTGTTAATTCAAATTTGTCTTCTCTTTTAATTCCGACTGCTTCGCTAAAGTCTAATTAAATAAGATAAATATGCACTATTACATCCCCGTCCTTTACTTGAATGTGTACTGACTTTTTAATAAATCATAAATTAAATAGACAACAGATTCCTTCTAGTGATGTTAAACAACGACGTAATAAAACTAAATTTACGTCGAAATGGCTACACGCACTTACGTAAGAATTTGATTGTTGAATTCATAAATAATGATTCTGGTGCATGTTAGCGTATATTTAATTTATTTTTTATTTTTTACTTGATTTTACTTAGTACTTGTAATTAGGACAACTCTTGTTCAATCGCGTACTATAGCTGCAACTACGTGTCTTTTTTTATATATTTTCACGTATAATGTGAAGACTAAGTCAGAAAATTGTCCTTCATATAAAAGGTGTTTTATGTAATATATAGAATTCAAAATAATTTATTCTTTTGAAAATCAGTATGCGATTTGTGGTTGTGGGTGTGTGTGATGTTTGATCGAATTAAACATTGAATTAAAATGTTTTATTTATTAATTTATAGAGCAGTACAATAAAGATCAATGGAACAATCTGTATCCCCAAGGTCATCCAGCAGGTAAGATTAATAAAACTGGTTCCTACTGAGGCACTAGTATGAATTTCATTTAATTTTTTTAAAAACTTATAGCTAGTGGCAATATGGGAAAATCATCAACATTATCAGCTACCGCTGCTACATTCACAGCACCACCTACAATTTTACCAATTTATCCCAACAGTTATCCTTATGCACTCCAGACAAACACGACCACCACCGACAGATCATATCAAACAGATAAACACGTAAGCCATAATACCTTGTATTTTTTTTTATTAACTTTTTCTTCATCTATTTTTAGGATAATCGAAACAGTCCCAATAATCGTAATTCACATTATTCTAACCCAAATTATCAAAATTCAAATCGGTATCTGCAATGATACAATGATAAATACTTTTAGTACTGACAATATCGTGACTAAAAAAAATACTAGGCTTGTTTTTTTTAATGATGATAAATTCTCAATACATACCACTTATCTTCTTACCTTGTTTTAAATGTACCATATTAAAAACCAAATTGTCCATTTATGTTGATAAATCTAGCGAAACAAAAGACTATATTGAATGAATAATTCTAACAAGTCTATCTTTATCTTTAGAAAGTCAGGCATTTCTCTGTCTGTCTGTCTGTTTGTATGTGTGTGTTTGTGTGTTTGTGTGTGTGTATGTTTGTATGAAGTGCGTGTTTTTTTACTTTTATTTTTTTCAAAAAACATTTTTTTTTAAAGAGAAAGCGTAAATACGCTGTTCCCCTTTGCAAGCAAAACGAAATCGTCTCGTCGCACTGTTTTTAATTTCTTTTTTTTCTCATTTGAACGGTGACTACATCCTTTCCAACTGTATACATTACATAGTTTTTCTCCCCTTCTTTTTTTGTTTGTAATTAACAATGCATCGTCTTTCATTCATCACTCGAATCCTTTATATAACGGATTGTTTATTTTTAACTTGTTCTAACACAACAGTAGCAGATCACAAATAAGGCCACTTCATTTTCTTTATCACACTCACATACTCTTAAAGTATTATTATTACTTCTCTAAAGTCAGTGAAGAACTATCATATTTTTGTATTTATCACTGTTACTATGTTTTTTTCTCTGTCTCTCTCTCTCTATATATATAATTGTTCAATTAACAGTCGATAAATGCAAGATCTCATTGACCGATATATATATATATATATATTTTCTTTTTTTTTTTGACAACAACCATTTCGCCGCTGTTTTTTTTCTGTTCTTTTGGTTGGTGATTGTCTTCTGTTGTGTACGATTTGTGATATATGTTTTTTCAAATGTTCTCATTAAGAGAGGTGTGCAATCAACATGCGCACACAAACTTGCCACAAACTAAATCTAGACGCCAATTATACTTTTTCTCTTTTGTTTTGAACTGTACGGTTCTTGGCGAAAAAAAAATATCTCTGAGAAAAAAACTTCTCGTTTTTTTTCTTCTTTTTGTTTTTTCTTATTGTTGTTGATGTTTGTTCAGTTTTTATAGAAAACTTTTTTGATTATTGTATTCATGTGAGAGAGTGTGTGGTTTCAAAAAGAGAGTCGAGGCGATATTTGTTTAATGAAAGAAAAATAAACGAGAGATGATGTTCTTCTAAAATTATTGTCAAGCAATTTGTTTCTGATACAATAAATATTGAGACTTCTGTCATTTTTTGTAAAGCAATTCTGTTCTGACTCTTTGTTGTAGAAGAGGGAAGTACTAGGTGAAAATTGTCACTCAATTGTAACCATGAAGGTGATTATTATCAAATCAAAAGTCAAGTTGAAGTCTCATTAATTGAAAACCACTTCTGTTGCATCTATATTGCAAGAATGAGGAACCGATAAGTGTATTTGAGAAGAAGAAAAGTTGACTAAAGACGTGAGAATTCTTACTTACATTTGACTTATTTTGTTCAATTATACGAAATTCATCATTTTACTGTTTCATATTTTTAATTCTTTCACAAACTTCCTCATAACTAGAAATTTTCTACACTAACGAGGGATCTCGCAAATTGTCACATCACTTTTCCGGCCAAACCCAGTGAGTTATAGGTTATCAACTATGCTGAATCCGAATATCATAGTGGTGGCTGGCCTTCAAAGAGTGTTTTTCTGGAAAAGTTTTTCAAAAATTCTAAAAGTAACCAAAACCTTTCTTAATGAGACATCATTGTAGCCCGCAAATTTCTGATTAAAATGAGACATCTCCCAGCTCTACATGACCTTTCTTTACAAAGTGATAGAATTTATAAGAAAAGTCCTAAATTAATTTCTTATTTCTGTAGCTTTGAGTTGACAGTGAACATTTAGGACTTCTCTTGTAAATTCTATAACTTTGTAAAGAAAGGTCATGTAGAGCTGGGAGATGTCTCATTTTAATCAGAAAATTGCGGGCTACCATCATGTCTTATTAAGAAAGGTTTTGGTTACTTTTAGAATTTTTAAAAAACTAGTTTTCCAGAAAACTACTCTTTGAAGGCCTCTGGACAGCCACCACTATGATATTCGGATCCAGCATAGTTGATAACCTATAACCCACTAGATTTGGCTAGAAAAGCGATGTGACGGTTGGCGAGGTATCCTCGTAAGTGTTTCGTAATGGTCAACGTTAGTGAGCAGAAGTTCTACGATACTAATCGAACACTGGTAGCTTTAAATTTCTTATTTGAATTTTAATTCTGAAAAGACGCTATTTTTTTCCTATTAGACAAAAAAAGATCCAAACTTGACAAATATTTTGTGTTAAATTAATAATTTTTTAGAATGAATAATACAGATTGGAATCGTATACCATCGAAAGTGAGAAAAGCTATTGAGGATTGTCTTGAAAAAGGTGGTGAAAATTTTGATTTAAATGATATTCAACTTGATTCATTCGTCGATTTCTGGAATTTGTGTATGTATGGCATGGACATCAAAAAATAATTTATTTTATTCTATTTTGAATTTATATATATTTTCTTTCCAGTTTCAAGTCATTTACGTCGACTGATTCAATTAAATTTGTCTCATAATAAATTTAAATGTATGTGTGTTTTGAAAACTGTAAATTTTACAAAACAAATTGTTCTTTAATTTTAGCTTTACCTCAAAATATTGCTGATTTATCCCATTTACAAGTTCTCAATTTAACAAATAACAATTTAGAAGTAAAAAAAAATAGTTAAATCATTCATTATTTATTCACTTAATTGATTATTGTACGAATATTTTTCTAGGAATTACCACTTACAATAAGTGTACTGTCAAAACTGAGAATATTAAAATTAGGCTTTAATCGTTTATCAACGTTACCAGTTAGTTTAGGTTCATGTTATACATTAGAAATTCTTGATTTAACCGGCAATGAATTGAACGAAAATACAATACCAAATAGTTTTTTTAAGCTAAGTATGTCAACTAAAAAATCTCCGTATATATACATGTATATTTAATGAATATATGCTTGTAATGATAACATTATCTCTATATATGATCTTTTCTTTTCAGAAATACGAGCATTATACCTTGGAGATAACAAATTTGAAACTATTCCAACTAATATAGAATATCTTGAAAATCTTCAAATAGTATGTATAAATACAAAAAAAAGGATGTGAATTTATACAAAATATCAACAAATTATTTAACGCTCAAAGAGTTTTTGAGAAAAACGCATTTAACAGAATCAAAACTTATTTTGCGTTTTTCTTACGACTACTTTTTAGTTTCAGGGCTTTCGCCACATGCAGGAATTCTTGGTAACAGTACATCGGCCATAGAAAATTCTTTTTTTGACTTGTAGATAACACCTATAGGTAGGAATTGACAGAATCCGATTTTTATATTATGCTTCCATTTTTTATAGAAATGAGGATTTCTAAGAAACCTTCCAAGGATTTTTCGGACTTTAAAGTTCTATTAAGCACCAGAAATTAGCAAATGAGAAATTCAAAAATCGGGCTCTGTCAACTCCTAGCTATAGGTGTTTACTGCAAAACAAAACCATCCCGATCTCTCTGTCACTTATCTGGAATGAAAATTCTTGCACGTGGTAGACGCCTAATTTTGGCCCTTGTTGCGGCGCCCTTCCACGAGCAGTATCCCAAAAATTTCGTCACCACACTTTGACATGATCAATATTTCCTGAAAGTTTGGTACAGATCAGACCTACCTGGACTGAGATAGGTTTCTGACCCGGGGGAGGGGCCTTAAAGTGAAGCAATAGTAGTACCTTTGATTGTGTTAAAATATCAACTGAAACTGTTGTTGTTGATTTAGACTATAACTATTTTATAATTTTTTTCGAAAAGAAAAATATAAATTAAATATTTCTGTAAACAGGAAACATAATACGCCGTTTACGTTTAACTGTATGGCTAAAAATATAGACAATAGAGGAAAAATGGCAGGAGATCAATTATGTAATACACACGAATGACATTTATTATTTAGCAAAAAAACTGTAAGAAAATATTTGAGGAATATATATCACGATTTCTTTTATTACATTATCTTATTTTTACCTATATATGAATTTCCATGAGACGAAATTATTCAGACTTTCTTCTTTTTATTTACAATATCTGTTATGGTGTGGTTTGCTGATATTCTCTATTTCTGAATATTCTACTCTTCTCATGCTCAAAGTTACATCATTCATGGTTCATATGTTCACGTAGTCATTCGTGTTTTAGTCAAGCGTGACATTTTCTCTTTTCTTATCATTATTTTTATCCTATTTTCTTATTTAGTTAGTATTTCGTCATAATAATTTGAGCCATATACCATATCAAATTGGACGATTAAAAAATTTAAAAGAACTTCATATTCAACACAATAAACTACAAATACTTCCACCTGATTTAGGTATTATGGTGATACTTTTTCTTCCTTTATTTATTTTAATAAAAATTTTTTTTTATTGAAGGACATTTAGATCTTCTTGGACAAAAACATATCTTTCGATATGATCCGAATCCATTTGTTCCAGAAATAAATGCACAATTGAAACTTGGATTAACACATTTATTTGATTATTTGAAAAGTGACGATTATTATCAGTAAGGGATCATCACATTGTTTTTTAATCCTTAAGAGAAAAAAACAAAACATTCTAACGTTCTATTTTCTTTCAGAGTATATAATCAATATATCCATGATATTTCTAAAAACGAAAGTAAATCCGGCAAACAGACTATAAAAAATTCACCGAAATCAAGATAAAGGATATATTATCTATGTGATTAATGTAATAACTGAGACAACAGCGTCAATATTGAATGTACTTGGTTCACTGTCAGATCAACTACTATAAATTTGTGCTATAATATATATTTTTGTGAGCTTTTAAAGTTCTTGAATCTTCTAGTCAATTTTTCTTGAATGATTCAGATAATTTTCAAACAGTTTTCTTTTACTGTAACTGCATCCAATTTTAAAATTTTTTTTGACATTTTTAGTTTGTAGTCTACTACAATTTACATTTTAAGTGTATATTATTTATTTTGTATATACAATACATTTTAATACCGACAATAGGATCATTTACGTATGTAGTACGTAATCACTTTTTCCGTGTTGTTTTTGACTTCCTCTCAGGAAATCTTTCGTAACCTGATGACCCCCCCCGTCCCCGCCTGTTCTCTCTTTACATGATTTTCTGAGACACACATCCTTCAATAGTTTTTTATAGTTCAAAAAATACAACATTTTCTTCTATTGATAAATGCAATACTAAATGGTGGCATTTTATTTTCTATGATACGAAACTGGATAATGAACAAAAATGTTTACTCGATTTTCTCTCCAATAAGATTTTGATCAACACGAAAGGAATCGTACTTTCACTTCGTCTGATCGTCTTATTAAGCAAACTGAATATAGAAATAAAAACAATTTTATTCTTAAAAATGTATCAGTATTTAGAGAGCTAATGCTTGTTTTCAACAATGCGCAATTCTATTAGCAACATATTCTACCATTACTGCCTACATCATTCATTCACAGAATAAACCTTCTCCGAAAATGGCGATGTTAAAAATAAATTTTCAAATTGATTAGGTAATTAATCTTAGACGTCACTCCCTCTCCTCCTAAAATAATTACGTAATACTTCGATTGTTTCAATTATAAATGAGTTGGTTCTAATTGAATACGCTACTATCTTTCACCGCGATTTGAAATCTATTTCTTCATCTCTTCTCATCGACGAAAAGATGAAAGCAAATACTCGACAGTAAACAACAATTTGAATCAATCATAGTTAAAAAAATATTTTAAAACAAGTAAACAATTAAAAAAAAAACATGAAAAATAAAACGATAAATAAAAACTAAAGAACATTTTAACAATTTTTAGACAAGCGTTGATAACTCATCCGTTTTTGCGTACAATTCACCATCAGCAGATTGTGAATCTGTTTTATATGGAGTAACACCAATTTTTGTATTGATCACGGATCGTGTCTGCCATCTACTCAAATGTGATATTAATGTAATTAGAATGAGAATTAAACCAAGTCCCAAAATTGTCAAGGAGATGATAGCTGGTATCAGTGACATACTCAGCAATATATATAGACACATTACTGAAAGAAAAGAGAAAATTAATAATACGTTCTAGTTATTAATGTTTCTACACGATGTCATCTTTCTTCTATTCTTCGTACTTTTAATAGTCTCATCTATTTGGATTCTAATCTAGAAATTGTAAAAACATCTAACTAACATACCAAGAATAAGTGCTGGTATTGAAGCATAAAATCCACATATTGCGATAAATCTTGATGTAGATGAACTGAATAGGAAATTGAAGCCACTAAATAATAAATAAATAAATAAAAGCTTTGAAGATTATTATCTAGCAGTTAGTGTTATTCTAAGCATTTAGATTTTGTGAAGTATACAACATTCATTTCTCATAAGAATAAGAAAATGATTTAATGTTTTTCTAAATTAATGCAGTTGCTTTTAATCTTTTAAATAGTTTTAAATTTTACACATATTTTTTAATATGTGTGATGAACAGTTTTAATGATAAATAATTCAAGATTGAGGCAATATTAGATAAGTATAATTTTGAGATATGATGCTCACCTGTCCGATCCTCGACGATATTTAATATAATTACATCCAAGATAAATTTCAATACTGAATACTAGTAGACAAAAACAGTTAAATACAACAATTAATAAACTAACGGCTGTGGCTAAATCACGAATAGATCGATAATAAACCGGTATCATTGACATTATCGGATTCATTCTAACATAATGTTCGGATGAAGCCGCTATTAGAAATGTAGATAGTAATGGGGAAGATGGAGTTAATTTAATTGAATTAGACGATGTCGAAGATGCTATTAAAGATAATTGTTCTGATGGATTTAATTGTAATGGTGCTGTTAATATTGGATTATTTGAAATAATATGATAGGGTGTAATATATGCAATTGGTAAATCATTTTTCGTTAATAAATTCATTGTACACACGGCAATTAGTATTAGATTAACCGAAATGAAACTCATAAAGCATAAACTAAGTATGTTTGCCCCTTGTCGGGCACATCGACGATCGTTTGACCCAGCTATTTCTGTAATATTAACTGTTTCATGTCCAATAGATACTTTTAATGATGAATTATAATTTTCTTTTCCAATACCTGTCGTTGCCGATGCAAAACGATTTATAAAGTTTCTTGATTGTATACTTGGCTCAGATTGACTTAATGTTTCCCAATGCATATTATAGGATCATAGAACTGTACTCAATATTAGATGATGGATTGAGGATGATAATGTTGACGGGTGTATCACAGTTAATGATGAAATACTAGAGAGAGAAAGTAACAAAGAATATTTATTTATTATTGTTTGAATGATTATTGTGCCACTTTTAATTTACATATTCTGCTACTAAAGAGCATATGTACATTGATATGATAACGATGCATAGAAAACGAGAGAATTTATACGTCACATATAGAAAACCGATGCATTGCAAATAATAGAATAAATATATTTATTTATCAGACAATATGTAAGGTCATCTATAGAAAATAACAGGAGAATATTATATTTAAATTCATAGGAAAAAACAAGGTTGCACAATTTAACGTTTAATTATTTTTTTCCAATAAGTTGACTACATAAAAGTACGATTAGCGGCCGATGGTTAGCATAAATTTTCATGAGTTAAAATGGATGACAAACTTATTCTAGTTTCAATTTATTCGCTACTTTTCCCATATGACTATGATGAATTCATACTCAAAGATTCCTTCTGTATACAATTATCACTGTATACATTACGGATAGACGCATACTATACTCTTACATGTTATTTATGTTAATAGTCGAACAATATATATTTTTCAAAAATGTCTAATGGTCGATGGAATTGTACCACACACAAGCAGGCATGAACGAGTCCGAGTCCAAACTGGAAGATTTTTTGATGGACTCTGACTCGATATTTCTAGTCCGGTCTATTCAACTTTTAACACAAATGAACAGAAAAAAATGAAAAGCGAAGTAACAACAACTTCTGTTTCACAAGAAATTGAAAATTTTGTTCGAGAGACGGACATATAAAGTTACCTTATTTTCGAAAAATCAACAGCTCAGTAAATTAAAAAGAGAAATAAACCAAACTCATTCAAAAAGAATCTCAAAGATTACCGGATGCGAAATGGACTCGGGACTCGGATTCGGACTCGGCTTGAATTTTTAAGGACTCGCCCATGCCTGCACACAAGTGATAACACCCAATTAGCAAAAGGATGGGATCGTTATTCTAGCTGTTGAGTGTAACTAATTGAAAACTCCATGAATCATATTTACGTTTTTATTTTAAGCCGTTGTTTTCATCATTGTCAAAATTTCTAGAAACCATGATTCTTCGGTAACAGCCATTACGATCTCTCAATATCTTTCTCTGTTTAGACTAATATTTCTTACTGCAAAGGTCAGACATGTCAAAATTTCTAGAAACCATGATTCTTCGGTAACAGCCATCACGGTCTCTCAATATCTTTCTCTGTTTAGACTAATATTTCTTACCACAAAAACAGACAATATTTCTGAAACATGTAATGCTTGTTTCGCCTTTTTCATTTTATCACCTTATCTATATCGAGTTCCCTGACGAAAATACTTAAAGCCCAATTAAAAACCGTACAAATCAGAAAAATATGATAAAGAGAAAAAATCATTACACATCTCGGAAATAATGTCTAATAGGACTATCCTTCACATTTTGTAATGGGAAACTTTTCAAATTTATAGATAAATTGTCGTATTCTCAGCTGGTGTATAGTCGGACTACATATCACGCTTTATCTGAAAATAATTTTTTCGTTTCTTCAGCGATAATTCACCAGGCTATAAAAATACTGAGCGCTTTCAGAATAGATTAGCATGAGACAAAATATACACTCAAATTCTACTTATTACTTTCCATTTTGTTATAGTAATATTATTAGTAACATCACGTTAATAAGAAATCGAAAAGATTAACAGAAGGATATGCAGTCAATTATATTTTTAATGTCACAGAATGCTGCATTATACTCTTGATGAAAAGAAAATGATGCTTGTTTACTTTTCTCTACTTATACAATAGCGAATTTTACTGCTTTTTTGTTTATTCTACACTACTGTATATATTAAACCTACTTAAAATTTTGAAGTTTGATTCACGATGGAAAAAATAGTGTTCTTTGTTGTTCTTTAAATGTTATGCTACATTATACGTTTAGAAGTAGTGTTAAAGTATATTTAAAAATATTATTTGATTTTATATATGTATAATGGATGATTGAATATGTCATATTTTATGTTAACTTCATACCTCAAAAAAAGACGCTTATAAGAGGGAAAGAGAACGCTTTTTGGATTAATAATAGTAGACTATGCTTTTTCATGGGTGCTTTGTTTTGTGACGCTTTTTCGTTCCTTTTTCCGTGCAAACCCCACATCAAGCAAAAGTGCTTAAGAAATTTGGCCAAGACTGTTTAGTGACTTTACAGCAAATGTTAATGACTTTAAGCGCTCGCATGCACACTTCTTTCTTTTCATAAAATGCACAAGACACACATATGAATGAAGTAACAACAAACAAGAACAACTATCCATTCAAGCGAAGAATTTACTTCACAGATTTAGATAAATGTGATTGATCCCTGCATATTGATGTTTTTAGGAACTTTTAATGAGTGCTTTTCTTCTATCACTAAAGACTATCGTTTCTTTAGTGAATGCTTGCTGTATATTTATAGTTTAGTCTTACACATTAGTTTAGCTTAGTTCAACAAAGCTCTTCAACAATTTACTTTTAGTAGATGCTTACAAATATTATCCCTTGGTATAAGCTATTTTTATTTGAAAGAGACGACATTTAACTTTTCCCCCTACCACCGAAAGAGAGACATGCTCCATTATTATCGGCGGATAGAGAAAACACGATCGATACAATGAAATCAGAATCTGATACGAAAAAAAGCTAAACAATAATATGTGAAAGTCCAGGCACACACTCAGAGTTAATATTATCCCTTTAGACTCTTATTTGACGGAGGCACTTTTACTAATTTATTCATCACTCTTTCTAAACGTTTTATAGATTATGCTGGAGATAAATTTAACAAGTATACAAATACGTGTTTATAGTATAATTTTCCTCATTCTATGTAGATCTGGTAGAAACGCCTTGTTAGTCAATTAATTTTTTTTGGCAAATTAACCATCGTTTGAATCATTCTTAATAGTAAAGAATTCCAAGGTTGATAAGAGGATTAACATCATCTTATACATATTGAAGTTAACTGTTTCACTTGAAACTAGTTTCGTCTTTATTCAAAAGATATCAACAGTCAAATGATGACACAAAGTGTTTACTCTTTAAATATAGAAAAGAAAGAAACACATGTAAAGAACACAAAAAATGTAACATCGTACATTATTAAGTTGTACATGAGATGATGTGTAACTAATTTAATTATTTATTTTTTTTGTTTGATCAGACTGATATAAATAATTACTAACAGTGGCTATCATCTTAATTAATGGTTTATTCTTTATATTTAAGTGTTTTTATTTTTTTTTTTTTTATCGTGTTTGACTTTGTGAAGAAAAACACCGTAACAAATGTCCGTAACCGCAGGCATATGATAATAACTCTTGCCTATGACACTCGATAGTATCGTATTATACTTTACAAAAGAACTATTTTCGAAGTATCTTACCCTAGACAAAAAATTGTTTTCAATCAACTGATGATTTCACATAATAATATCACGGCTAAATTCACTGCTTTTTCCTTTTCTTTTCAATTTTAACTTTTTTAACAAGTAAACGAAAATTGATGATTTTCGTTACACTCGAATCACCCTTGAAATTTACGTGCACATAGGTTGTATATGAAACCTGTTGTTGGGAAGTAATAAAAAGAAAGTTGAGTCTATACATAATAACCTTACGATACAAAAAAATGTGACGAAAGAAAAGAACAAAAAGAAAAAGAAAATGAATGCAAGAAAAAAAACAAAAGACAATTATGAAAAGGTTGTTTTACATCAGACTATGGATATCTGTGAGTAAGAGGGTAAAAGCCTCGAGCAAGACTGCAGTTTATGGCTCGATTACAGAATTTCAATCAAAAACTCTGAATATCTCAGTGATGTTGTTGGTATTTCCCTTATTATTTATATACAAAATGAGAGAAAACATCTTTTTTTTGAACAACATACTAACTGCACAACGTATACTTACTAAATTATTTTCATGAACACAAGTTTTTTTTGTGGACGATTATAACCAGATGTATAATTACATATCGTACAAGACAAACGATTCTTCTAGGTCTTCTAATCTGCAGTTGGAATATTTCGAAAAAAAGGAAAATGGAAAACGTAAGAACAAAGCATTTCCATTGTCTTTTTTCTCTTTTGAGATTTGAAAACTGAACAGTTAAGATTCAGACTATTACAGAGAACGAATATCGATTTATTTATTTGTCGATATTTGATGAGATTCTAAAAATAAAAAGAAGAAAGAAGAAAACAACAGCCATAAGATCAAAGTGAAGAAAAACTAATGATATGGAAAATAATTTTGAAAACTTTGAGCATAAAATATTTTCGCCTTTTTGGACTTTTTTATTAGATTACCAGCTAGAAAAATTTGTTAAATTCGATTCAAGAGAGTCAATTAATGGTCGAAAAGTTCCAAACAACTTATGTTTGCATTCAAGTCCCTTCGATCAAATCGTTTTTTTTTCGGAAGAATTGCTTTCAGTTAAAGTCTATGCGGATTAATGTCTTCTAAGAGAAGTATTCACTTTCCCAATAGACATGATATTTGTATAGGATATCCAATACTTTCTGAGTCTCTTCTCCGAAACGTATTATAGGATATCAACAGATAAGCAACTAAAATGAATGGAATGCGAAGTAAGATTTTGTTAATGTGATTAGATCAGACAACAGAAAAAGCGTTGTGATAGTGGATTGGCATGACTACGTAAACAAATTGGATAATATTTTGAATGATTCCAATACGTTTAAACAAATTGATGCAGGCCAATCGTATTGTGAAAATAACAGAATTCATAATATTTCGGCTTGCACAAGTTATTTTTCAGTCCAGATGAAACCACACCACTCAATCAGTAATAAAAATTTCTTCAAAACTCAATTGTATTATGATCTAAACGACAGAAAACAACGTTGTTAATTATTAATTTA